AAAAAATATAAATCCAAATGACTCGATTCTAGTTTTGTATGAGGCTAGACTTATATTACTATCACATATCTAAAAAATTAACCCCAAATTCTAAGTACACAATTTATGACAATTTTTTGCAATCAGCTCCCGTTGTAGAATTTTCTACCCGTAACGTAACGACTAGATGGCGAGAGGCTTAAAGGAAAATATACTTGTTTGTTTTATCCTAATTTTGGTAGTTACTAAATCAGATTATAATCTACAACTTTTATTTTTTGAAAAACTCAAATTCTAATCCTAAAATATCGATAATTACAATTTAAAATCTAGATAGAATAAGAACTTAACAAGAATCACAAAACACCTCACCTTTCTTTGAGATTGATCAAGAACTTGACTCAATTTCTCTAAATCTTGAGTTAAATTCCTTTCAATCAACTTTTCCCCTTGATTTCTTCTTGCTCTAAGGTAGCTTTAGGTTGGTTTTGGTTGCTAAACTAGGCTTCCCTCATGATTCCTCACTTGCTCTTAATTTTTCTCTAAATTTTCAACTCTTTTCTTGCCTTTCTCTTCAACTAGCCATGAATCAACTCAAGCTCTCTCTCTTTCTCTCTCTCTCTCTCACACACTAGGGTGGTCGGCCATGGTGATGAAAATGATTAACAAAAATCTAACCTTAGAAGATAAGTTTAAATAGGTATTTTGGTAAATTTTTTTTAAGTCCCTCAACTAAGTCTAATATGACACTTATCTCCTTTAACCACTAAACATATTTCTTAAACCCCTTTAACATGTCATATGTATAACTATTTGTATTCATGTATGTCTTTATGTATGCTTGCATGTATAAACAAGTAAAATTTTTGGGACAGTGGCTATTACATTATTTCATTACATTCAACATGTAAAAACATATGTATACATATGAATGCACTTCAAAACTATCACAATACATCATTCATATTAAATAGATAAGCATCTATGTCCATGGTCTAGGTGAGTTATACTTAACCCAATTTGTTTAAAACAACTACCGATCGCAACCTTTCTCTAACCGTCAGTATCTCGACTTGATTTAATACCTTAAAACATACATATCATATTATATAAAAATTTATAATTCATCATATAACTTTAACATTTAACTTTATTAGTTCTTGTTCTTTCTTGTAATTTATTTCCTATAATATTTGGTATGATAATTACTCACTACTTGTATTTACTTATTCAATTGTATTTCATCATCAATAAACATTCAATTTGATATCTTATTATTAATTTTACCGATCGAATCCTAATGTCATCATCAATTCTCAATTAAATCATCAATTTTATTTTAATTCACTCAATTCTTCTTTCATTCATCTTTAATTATATTCTTATAATCTAGTTCTTTATTTTCTCAAAAAAAAAAAAAAAATCAATTCAATTCTCAAACAACTTGTCTCTACAATCCATCATCTCAACCCATTTAGAAATTTCTCAAACCCATAGTCTAATAATTAATTTCACATTACTATTATCTCATTTCAAGCATCAATTAGTATAAGTAATCTTTTAATTATTAAATTTCTAAATTCAACTTAAACCCTATCCCAACATGTCTTAGTCTTTAATCAATGAAAAACTCAATATAAAATAAAAATAAAATAATCAATAAACACATATAAGCACCTGAAATTTAAGACTAAATAGCAAAATCTCACATTTTTCAAATAGGTCTTCAAACTCCAACTTCAATCTTTCAATCCCTCCAAGCTTTAATCCAGTTGTTACTCTAATCAACCATTTTGTTTCCATGGGCACTTGGGCAAGATTTTAGCATAAAAATGAAAGAAAAAGTTGAAGGACGTAAAGAGAAATCTATGAGTGAGAAGTGAAGGAGAAGAGAATAAAAGAAATGAGAGAAACGAGGGAAAATGGAGGTTGTCCGTTTTTTTATATCTAGGTTGCTAGAAATTTATTTATTATTATTATTTTATATTAATTCACTTCAAAACTCACTTCATCCTCACTTTTACACTTTTATTTAAGATTAAAAAATCAATTGCTTTGATCTATTTCTCTTAATAAATTTAATCAAACTTAACTAACTTTAATTACCCTATTTTTCTTTAATCTCAAAATAAATTTAATCTAAAACACCTCACATAATAAAAATAATTAAAAGATACCAATCACATGTATAAAACAAGAATGAAATTAAACACACCCATAAGCATACACATGCATTATTCGAAGAAAAAAATTTTGGGTGTTAAAATTATCTATTTTCTATCGCTTAAAAGCTATAACTTAACAAATTTCAGTTGCATCAAAACCCGAAAGGGTGTTCGAGAGCTACTTGTTGTTTACAAATATCGTTGAGTTCAATAGTTCTATTGTTTGTGTCCTTTGTCTTCTATTGCAACTTGTATTAATAATCCTTTGATTCTTTTATAATTATTGTAATGTTTCGGGTTCCTTTACAACTATCCACTTTGTTTCTAGTTGTTAGAAAGTTTAATCCACATATTTATTTTCACTTTTTTTTTTTTTGTATTGTTAGAAACTTTAACTCGTATATTTATTTTTAGTCTCTTTCTAGTTGTTAGAAAATTTATCCTATGTAACCAACTATTTATAACTAAAATGCTGATTTAAAGGATTCATAATGTGACGATTTTTTATCCAAACAAATCATCTAGTAAATTAACTAATAGACTTCTCATGTAAAATCCAATTATTATGCTTTTTGAGTATGATTCAAATTTTAGGTATAACAATAATTGATTTTGACATAATACAAGTATACAATTAAAAAGAAAATTTATTTGTAGGAAAAAGAAATTACGTCTTTTCAAACCCAAACCACGTCTCTCTCTCTCTCTCTCCTCCCTTTTGTTTGGTTATGTTCGTTTTTCTTTTCCTTAATTAGAAACGATATCTAATTTCTCTTCTTTGGCACGTGTATATAGGGGTGAGCAAACGGTTCGGTTAACCGAAAATCAAATAAAATCGAATTGAATTATGAAATTTGGTTCGGTTTTAAATGTAAAATTATACAATATAAAATCGAATAAAAAAACCAAAATTATTTTGGTTCGGTTTGGTTTTTAGAAAAAAATTTTTGGTTTCGATCGAAAACCGAAATAAATAGTAAAATATTTTCTAATTTCTAAATCCCAAACTTTTCAATCTTTATTCTTGCCGAAACCGAAACACGCAGATGAGAAGTAAATTTTAAGGATCGTTGGGGTAAGAAAAGAAAGTGACAGAGTGTAATTAATTGAGATACAATGTGTTTGAATGATAAAATTAATTACACTTGGATTGATTTTCATTAAAACCTAGTTAAAATCTTCAAGGGCTTTGTAATTGTCTATAAAAAGGATTAATTGATAACAAGATGTTACTTCATTAGCTAGTGGACTAAGTGTTAGTACAAAACATCTCTCTCGTAATGATTTTTTTTTTTTACAGCAAAATATTTTGGTTAAAACCGAAATATTTCGAAACCAAACCGAAATAATTCGAGTTACAAACCGAATTTATTAAATTTATTTCGATTCAATTTTGATTTTTATTTTTCTTAATTCGATTAACGAAAATCAAATCGAATCGTATAAAAATCAAACCATTTAACCGAATGATCACCCTTACTTGTATACACTCATAGCTAACATTTTCCGTGGCCGAGCACTTCCCCTTCACAAATCACAGTTGTCCACTTTGTAATAATGACAAAATAATAATAATAATAATAATAATAATAATAAGGAGAAAAAACTGAGCACGATTGCAGGAGTACTCCCAGTACTCCTCTATCCTTAAAACCATCGAAGTCATAGGATCTAGCACACTGGGAATACAACATGCGGAATCAAAATTGTCTCAATTATATATTTATTTAATTTGAAATACAACATGCAGAGTCAAAATTGTCTCATTTATTTATTTTAAGCTGAGAGTTGAGTAAATTACAAATTAGCTACTCTAGTTTCAAGGAACATATAAATTTTTTTCGTTTTAAAAATTATTATTTAGTTTTCTAATCGTATATGATCATATTTAATTTAATATTTTTTTATTTCATAAATTTTTTTTATTTTTTAAAACAAAAATTAAAAATTAATTAAATTATAAATGAATTTTAAAATATAAGAACTAAATGATTAACTTTTCCAATGATTAGCTTTTGAAATGGAATGGATAGATTTATCTATTTTTCAAAACGAGAAACATTAATTAAACATTAATTTATAATTTAGCGGATGAGAGTTCCAACAGCCTTTGAATTAGACAATATATTTCATTAAAAATATCATATATAGAAATACATTATTAGATTAAATATTGTTGTATAGCATAGCCTATATCTCAATTGTAATTTATTTATTTTTTGTTCAATGATAAGGAAACAGATAAAAAAAATTTTTAAATCATTTTGCTTTTCTAAATTTGAACCATTAGACTAGTATTTTTTAAAAAAATTATTCATTTAAATGCATTATATCAATATAAGAGATGTATCTTTGTAAATTATTTTTTAAAAAAGTTATTTTAATAAACGTATAAACCGATATAAAGTACCCCATCTTCATTGAGTCGCTGTCAAATAAAAAAATATTAAAAAAAGTATGATATTATCATAGAAATTTCCGTTTGCGGTCATATAGACACATGGATTAAACAGGCTAGCCTAGTCGTGGATTTTAAGAAATAGAATATTTGGTCAAAGGTTCAACTCGAATGTAAACTTGAAACATAGGTCCAAGTAAGGGAGGAGCCGTGAGGCCTTTCTAACGGCTACTTGCTTGATGCTTTGCTTATTCCTTGATAATAAATCCAAAACGCAACCGACCATACCATCTTTTTACAGCTTGGCTATCCACCACCAACGTCATCGCTCTGCACTTCATTACCTTTTTGGTTACCTTAAAGGCTCCCTTACTCATGAATCAAACACTCGAAACTGTAGCAAAACCCTTTCTGCATCTCAAAAAGATTGAAGTCCTTTCTTTTCTTCAAACCCAAAAATGCCAAGAAAGAGACTGCCCATTTTCCACAAGGTCTCAAATCTTCTTAGAATCCCCATTGTTGTTGCCAAAATAAGGAAACCCATCATTCCAAAACTCATTTTCCTCAGGAAATCAAGAAAGCTTAAGAAGTTCAAGCGGCTCAAGCATTACAGCTACGGGTTTCTTGAAGAGTATGTGTTCTCTCCTTCAAGTACTCCACTCATTCATTATCCCAAGAAACAGTTCAAACTTAGAAGCTGTAAAGACAACATATACTCTATGTTGTTCCTGTGTAGATGTTTGGGTGGCTTGAAAGCTGAAGGAGGAGAAGTGAAGTATAGATTGTCAATGGATAGAACTCTACCTGCCGCTACCGTCAGTAATGGAGAATATTTGGAGCCGTTGGATTATTTGGTAGAGGAGGAAGATTCAGTTGATCAGAGGGCTGAGAGGTTCATTGAGAGGTTCTATCAAGAGATGAGATTGCAGAGGCAGGAATCAATTTAGCCATCCACATAGATTGTGTTGGAAATTTAGTAGAATCATGTCAGAAATTCTCATGTTTATCCTTTGCTTTGATATTAATATTGTCAAATGTTTTTGTTCTCCACATTAATTTTTGAGACAGTGGGGACGTGCATTTTTTGGTTTTCTCATTTGGCTGTCAAGTGTTAGTGCGTCTAGCTAAATTTTTTAATCTTTGCGTTTGCGGGTGTATTCCAAGGAATTTGGTTCTAATAATATTACCATTACATTCTTTTTCACCATCTTCAGCCTCTCTATAGATGGCATTTATCCCTAATTTCTCCTAGTTATTTTCTAGGAGTACAATATTACATATGATGCTAGTACGTACATTGATATGGTTAAAATATACAAAGGAATTTCTTTGCTCAAGGAAAAGGAAAAATATAATATTTCTTGACTTCCCAAATTGTATTTTCGGAGTGATAAATTATTTGGTGCACAATTCAATATTTGCAAACTCCCACGTGTTTTCCCAAACAAATCACAAGTCATAAGTCATAACCTCTTGAGCTTCCTATTCGCATTCCTAAATCCTAACTTGACTTGGAAGAGTCGAAAGCCGAGAAATATAGTGCAAATATGTGCTCATGTGTGGAAATGAGCTCTTTGTGGTCCCCATGCATGAAATTCTCAATATTGGATCTTGAATCCCAATGAAGTTTCTTCGAGCAACACTAATTATTACTATGCCCTAGTTTTGTGAAGGCCAATTCGATCTTAACTATAATAAAAGGAGACAACAAATCTCTAGTAATTAGACAAGCGAAATAGGATTTTAAGTCATTAATTTACACCGATACCTAATGAATATATAATATTAATTAACACCAAAGAGGCTAATTCATTCAAACTCAAATAGATTTTTAATCCATTCAGCATTGTAACATATCACAATGTACGAAAAACTAAAGAGATCCTATAATTCCAATTAGGACTTTGGTATTCAATTTTCTTGATGATCTTTGACTATAAATTTATTAAGGATTATGGGATGCAACATTTTTTTTTTTTAATCGGTAAAGAATTGTAATTCAACTAACATCTGCATGCAGTATTTTAATCTCTTATATATGAAAAAACCATTATGTCTCTTCCCTGTAAAAAGACAAAAAGATAAAAATGCAAAAATCTTTTATTAGATGAGTGAAATTGGATATCAAGCCATTTATGCCTACCATAATGAATTTACTGGTCAAACTAGCTAACACCAAAGAGATTTCATTGGAACAGAATTAGAATTCAGTTTAATTGATCCATTAAAAAATGCAAGACTTCACTGTTTAAAAACCAATCAACTAACTAAAATCCAATTAGGAAATTTAGGAGCAAGACTGATTGGATCAGCCCATTTTCAAATTTATTTTAACTTTTATTATGAGTTGCATCCTCACTCGTTTAAAAGATAAGTCAGACGGTATCAAATGAGGAAAGGAAATGTGAAACAGATCATACGAAGACATTTTTTTGAATAAAATTGGAGCAATTGAGTTCAAATATAGGGTCCATTCCGATGGGCTTTCTATCTGGGCCAACCGTTTCATTATTAAGCCCAAAATACATCGAACCCCAATCACTTCCCTACTTCAGTTCTTTCTTACCGCAACTCCTCGTCAGGTGTTGAGGTTTTAGTTTAAGTTACAGATTTATACGGAGAGAGAGAGAGAGAGAGAGAGAGAGCCTCGGCAAGACAAAGCAACCTCATCGTCCTTGTCGAGGCGCAGATCGAAATGGCAAACAACGAACAGCTTAAACTGTACAATTCCATGACCCAACAAAAAGAGGTATTCAAGCCCCAAATTCCTGGAAAGGTTTCCATGTACGTTTGTGGTGTCACCGCTTATGATTTCAGTCACCTCGGTCACGCTCGCGCCGCTGTTGCCTTTGACATTTTATTCAGGTCCATTTCTATCTATATAAATACACACGCACTCTCTTTATATATGCAACTGATCTGTTTTATTTTTTTCTTTATTTGGGAGATTGATTGATTGATTTTATTTGATTATTTTGATTCTGGTAGCTGATGGGGGATGTTGATTTCTTAATCAATGCCAAACACGCTTATGAAGTATAGATTTGAGCCTCTTTTTTTTTTTTAAATGGGGATTCCTGTGTAGAAATGAGGAAAGTGTTTTTGTAAAATATATGTTTCTCTCTCCTCGAGCAATGCTTGTGTACTTTGCTGCAATTATACAAACCTTTGTTCCTTTCTAGATTTAGGCAGATAAGATATCTGAGTTAAGTATCTAATTGGATTTCAAAGCTTTGGCTAAGATTACCTCTTATCAAGTTAAATTAAGCATGAGTTGTGGCATCAGCCTTGCCGGCCAGCCATGCACTCTTTTTAGGTATTTTTCGTTTGTTTAATATACAAGTCTGAAACTGCAGGGAGTTTGGGCGTTTCTTTTTTCTTTTATGCCTTAGGTTATAAATTCTGTATTTGACTTATAGTTCTGGCGAACTCTCCCTAACTCCTCTTGCATCGAATTCTTGTATCTCTCAAACTAGGATGCTCATCTGTTTTGCTCACGCAACTCATCGTATCAAACTATCCTACACAACATCTCTATATACAGTAAAGAAGTCTCAACAGAATAGGAAAATCCTTGTTCAACAACCCACATAATATCTTGGTCAACAAGCGGGATATACTCCACCACCAAGTCATTTTGTCTCCCAAGCAACACAACTTGACCACCAAGTCACATGAAGTGAGCCATGCTAGAATTCAAGACACACTACAACAAATGAAACATGTTAAAAAATAAAAGAATTCATATTCCATTTCTAACTTTTTTGGTCTAGTTCTGTTTTGACTATTCTGAGTAAGTCTCACTCAAGAATGATTTAGGGTCCATCCTGGTGGCCTTTTTATTTGGGCCATTTCCAGTTAGATCAAAAATTGCTATCCTCAATCTTGAAACTCCTTTTCAGTTCTTACTGCATCCTTTCCTTGTAAGGTATTAAAATTAAAGAGCAGACATTGACAACCCACCCTCACTGTCCTTGTTGAGAGAGGTGTGTGTAGATTAAAATGGAAAATGAAGGTGTCAAACTGTACAATTCAGTAACCCAACAAAAGGAGGTATTCAAGCCCCAAATTCCTGGCAAGGCTTCTATGTATGCCTGTGGTGTCACTGCCTACGATTTCAGCCACCTTGGCCATGCACGTGCTGCTACTGCATTTGATGTTTTATTCAGGTCTCATATCTATATAAAGTATAAACATGCACCATAACATGCATTTTACACAATCGAACATATTTTTTCTTCTTTGGGAGATTGATTGATTTGATCATGCTGAGGTTACCTCATAACAAGTTAAAATTGTTGCTCAATGCCTCAGGTCAATCGCACACTCATTTTTTTTTTTTTAATCTTTTATTTTACGAGTTTAAAACTGCATTATGTGCGTGGAGTTTGGGCATTCTTTCTGCTTTTTATGGATTTGGTTTTATGGTCTGTATTTGACCTTTATGTATGCATAAAATCATCTACCATTGATTCATGTGTTGCCTTTGTTTCATTTGAACTGCAACTGCAGATACCTACAACACTTGGGTTATGAAGTTACTTATGTTCGGAATTTCACTGATATTGATGACAAGGTGAGAATTACAATCCAACAATTACAACATGAGTATGGTTCCGAGTGGCAATTTATAGTAGCAGCCATCACAGTATTTCAATTGCTCAGTATACATTGCCTGGCATCAATTTGGTAAACATTTGTGGAATTTCACATTCTTTTAGTCGAGGAATATTTGTTGTTTCTTGCTGAAACAGAAGGAAAATGCATTACTATGGCAAGTTAAATATGCTAATTTAGTAAAAAGCTTAAATGATACTGTAATTTGAAAGAACAAAGGGTGTAAGAAATACACTAAGGACTCCGCATTATTTTATTTCAGACTTTTGTTTAAATTTGTGCCGTTGTTTTTTATGATCCAGCTTCAGTTTTTAGAAGGGGCTTTTGAAACCCCCAAAAAGAAAGCCTTTCTTTATACATGTCACTTTTATGGTTTTTGTGAACGAAGTCTTCTTGTTGAGCATTAGATGACTCTCTCCCAATCCCCAAAACCTCAAATGGACCCACTGCACATTCAGAGGCTGGACACTTATGTTTTTTTTTTTTTTTTTTTTTTGTTAAATTTATCAGGATAGACGATGTGTACAGTTTTTTATGGTACACATGTAAAATCACCCCTAAAGGTTGCAAAGATAAGGAGTCAGGATAAGTTTTAGTCTCTAGTCCATGGTTATATATTAATGTTCGCAATGGTTAAAACCTGCCTGAAGATTAATGCCTCAACATCAAGATCTGCCTTGTTTTCCTTTTTCTTTCAGTTTTTCCCAATGCTCTAGTTTTACTACAGCCTCTATGCAATAATGATGTTGCTCAGGTCAATCCTCAGACGATAATGTGTGTGTGTGTTTTTTGTATAGATGCTCACCCATATACTTGTATATGTACATGCATACATCAATTTGCTCTCCTTTTGTCGAGTTTCTTGTCCAAAATTCACCAATATCTATGTCTTTGCAGATAATTCGTCGGGCAAATGAGCTTGGTGAAGATCCATTATCTTTAAGTAGCCGGTTTTGTGAAGAATATCTTGTTGACATGACCGATCTGCAGTGCCTCATTCCAACACATCAGCCACGTGTAACTGATCACATGGAACAGATTAAGGACATTATCACTCAGGTCCATCCCCCTACTGTTTTGACTTTAGTGTTGATTAAGCTTGGATTATTCTGCTCTCTCTGTGTGATAGCGTGCTTGTGTACAAACCCATGTGGGGTGTATTTTGACATTTGTAGAAATTGGACAGCTCACTGTTGAATATGCCAGAGTGGTCAGTAAGGCAGTTCAATCTATTTTCTCTTCTAATTTTTTGGCTTTGGTTATGGAGTTATCTGTTGTGTGCGTGTTGGAGACAACAAGAAAGATGCAACAATCAAATTTCAAGGGAATCCAGGGTACTTTCAATAATTGAAGGGAGAATAAAACAGGCTTAAACTCTAAAGTTTGATTTTGAGGGGTTTACCTTTGTGGAAGCCACTAGTTTTTATAATCTGTCTACCGACTAATGGTATAGCATATTAACAAACAGAGAATGGGAGTGTCAAGGTGCAGTTAGTAAATTGTGCATGATGCTGCATTGTAAGTCATCTGTTATGGTCCTTGTAATCAATTAGAGATATATTGGAATTTCTCGAATTTTAGCTTGAATGGCTAAACAAGTTTGATACTTTTGAAGCTTAGTAACTTATTATAACCCAAATAGAGTTGGTTATATAGCTCGTGTAGAACTTTTGACATGTATAAGACATAGTCGAACAACGCTTGCTGATAAATAATTAATTGTGATGATTTATGACCTTTTGTCTCCTATCCCATATATGTGTTGCTAATCTTTGTTTATTTTTTTTTCAATCAAAGGTGTGCAACTCACTCTCCTACTGCCTTTTTTAATTATTGGCCATTGTTTACTTCTGATGCACACTTCTGACCCCTTTGAATCAGTTATGCATTCGTGACAGGAACAGCAGTTGCTTTGTGTCTCATGTATTAGTTTTCTTTAATTGATTATTTTGGTTATTGGATGATGTGCCTGCAAGTTTTTCATAAGTTATTATAGATGTGGCTCAGTTGTTGCAAGGGAGTTCTGTTTTCTTTGTATTTAAGTGGACATCAATAATTTATGCAGATTATAGAAAAAGACTGTGCATATGCAGTGGAAGGAGATGTCTTCTTTGCTGTTGATAAATCCCGAAATTATGGACAGTTATCTGGGCAGAGGCTGGAAAATAATAGAGCAGGGGAACGTGTTGCTGTTGACTCAAGAAAACGTAATCCTGCTGACTTTGCACTGTGGAAGGTATAAATCTCACAAGATAACTGGAAATTTTTACTTTGTTGGTATTGCACCATATCCAATGTCTACTTTTGCAGGCGGCAAAGCCAGGTGAGCCAAGTTGGGAGAGTCCATGGGGCCCTGGAAGGCCAGGATGGCATATAGAATGCAGTGCAATGAGTGCCCAGTATCTGACCTTCAAATTTGACATCCATGGCGGTGGAATTGATTTGATATTTCCACATCATGAGAATGAAATTGCCCAGAGCTGTGCAGCTTGTGAAGAGAGCAGCGTGAGTTACTGGTTGCATAATGGGCATGTCACTAATAATAATGAGAAAATGTCAAAATCATTGGGTAATTTTTTCACAATCCGCCAGGTAAATTGATAGTCTTTTTTTCCCTCATTAAATTCTCTTTTAAATAAATTAATTTCAACCTTATTGATTGTATTTGTTTAAGATTCCTTTTACAATTCTATGTAGATTACTGAACGGTATCATCCACTGGCGTTGAGACACTTCTTGATAAGTGCACACTATCGCTCTCCCCTCAATTACTCTGTTTTGCAGTTGGAAAGCTCATCAGACGCTGTCTTCTACATTTATCAGGTTTGAGGCTTATGCATGCTCCCCAAACTTTTCACTTAAAAGTTTTTTCTGTGCCATTAAACAGTCGTGGAGGGCCACCTGTTTGAAATTTTGTTTGTGTTCGTTAATGTATCAATTTTGCATGCCCATGTAGGTGGGAACATGTTCACTGAGCTTACTTTTTTCTTCTTCTAGAATTAATTGAACTTGCAGTGCTTGTCTCCTTAAGTTGAAACTTCTTCACGAGTTACTTAGTCACAGTTAAGTTTTGCCACGTGCTATAATAACAGAGTTCTAAATTGCATTGGGTTAGCAATTTATTGGAAGTAGAATCTCTTATGCAGCAGGAAACATGATCATGGGGGTTTAAAATGACTTGCTTGTCTTCATTTTCCTTTCTTGATATGCTTCATTCATAACTTGTTTATTTCCTAGATCACTGTGCTTTGATTCTGGTAAATGTGGTGCCATGATTACAACCCTAAGAAACAAAAGGATACACACAGTTGCACACACCTTTCCTTGCGTCCTCACCTACACCCATCCACACCCACCGTTAGCAACAGACGCAGACACTGACACTTGGATATCATTAGTATTTATACTTCTGGTAAATTATTGTTATTTCGTGATTGTAGACATTGCAAGATTGTGAGGATGCTTTATTGCCATTTCAAGAAGGAAACCAGAAGGAAGCCGCTGGACAGAATGGCAACATGGTTCCAATTATTGCTGATGCCAAAAAATGCATTTCTAGGCTGCGTGAAGAGTTTGAGACTAAGATGTCAGATGATTTGAATACTTCACCTTTATTGACTGGTGCTTTCCAAGAAGCCTTGAAGTTCATAAATGGTTCTTTGGGCATGCTGAAGGTACGATGATCTCACTCTGTTGTATCTGTGTGGGCTTTTGTGTGCATGTATGGAGATTAAACATATACTTCTTTCCTTGATAATTGCCAGAAGAAACAACAAAAGAAACAACAATTGTCATTGATTCGGTCCCTTACTGAAGTTAAGAAAGAAGTTACAGAAGTTCTGAGAATTCTGGGATTGTTTCCTCCTTGCACTTGCGCTGAGGTGAGATTTTGCAATTTCTTTTGTATACAACAACCTACTGCAACCCTACTTATCCAGGCTTGGGACGGACCATACTAACCTGAGCTAGCACACGCAAACTCCCAACTCTTTTTTTTTTATTCCTAAAATCTGAATTTTCTCCATGTTGAAATTCATTAACAAAAGTCGGATTTTCCATGGGACAGGTTTTACAGCAGTTGAAAGATAAGGCATTAAAGAGAGCAGGACTAACAGAAGATGACGTGATGCATCTGATTGAGGACAGAGCAGTGGCAAGGAAAAGTCAGGATTTCAAGAAAAGTGATCAGATCAGGACTGATTTGTCTGCAAAGGGCATTGCACTAATGGATGTGGGCAAGGAAACAGTTTGGAGACCTTGTGTTCCTGTTGAGAAAGAAGAGAAGGCATCGACAGTTGCGGAAGAGCCAACACCACCACCACAAGCTGCATCAAGTTGACGGTTGACAGCCTTTTCTGGCCCTGGCTTTATTTGGCCTGTGATGACTGCTGCAAGTTTATATCACTCGTTACCGTTTTACATCGCCTAATTCTGAATCAAAAAATATTTATAGGTTTTGATTTATACATTGGTTGATGTTGTAACATTGGGGGGCTTTCACACATTACGGCCCTGTGAAGTAGGCAGCGTGTCATGGGTCTCCCTTTGCATGTAGCAGTCGACCAGAAATTGTTCTTTCCAGCTTGTTAGATCAAAAGATCCAATGTAGGAAGGTTGGTAACGTTATCTTTATCTCCTGTTAAGTCGTCTTGTATGAAGAAAAAAAAAAAAAAAAAAAAAACCTCTTTTATGTAGCCCAAAAATGCAATGGGCCTTAAAATGAGCTATAGGAAAAGTGATGTGATACGAGCAATAATGGAGTATTTGATGGGATCTCGTACGGTTTTGAGGAGTTTTGACTTTGTTTTACGCCTTATCTGGGGAGGGGTAGTGGAAAAGTTGACAGATAAGTCATCCTTCTCTTTTCTGACGAATTGTATAATCATTCGAAAAAAAAAAACTGAAAAAAAGTGAGATGTTTACTATTCTTTTACTGTTTATTTAGTGAACCAAAACATGTTTTTATTGTTTTTGTTTTTCTTTTTCATCTTTATCACCTTACTGTGCTTTTAATATATATATATATATATATATATATATATTCAATACATATGCTCAAGGCTCCCAATTTAACTGCTTTGTTTGGATTTGAATTCGTGAAATTTTGTAAGAATGCTACAACATATTAATTTAATGATTTCTTGCCTTTTTATTCTGTCTATTTTTTGTTATGCCATTGTTTTTTTTTTTTTTTTTGTCACTTCATCTGTCTTGTTAGAGCATTTTAAAAGTGTAATTCATTAGTGTTAGAGTAGAAATCACAATTCAAAATTATTAAAGAAAACACTGCTATTAACAATGATGCGAAAACACAATAAATCCTAATAATGAATATTTAATTTTCTAAATTCAAAAATAAATAAAAAAAATAAATTTTAGATCTGAAATTGAAAACTTTCGATTCGTCAAGAGTGTCACCTCTAAAAGAAAATCCATAACACTACGGTGGTTGTTATTTTAGTCACAATAGGTGGTGGCTAAAGTTTTAGTTCTTGTTGATGAACTGTTTAGGTGATGGGGTTGGTGGGTTCAGATGGGTCTGTGGTGTGAATGATGAAGAGGAAAACAACAAATTAGCAAAATCTGACAAGATTTTGATGCAGTGTGGAGGCAAAATCATCTTCATTCTAGCAAGCAGCAAAAGCTCAACACTCAGCTAAAATGATCGCGAAAAGGGTTATTGAGCTTTCAAAGGAAATTAGAGCTATGTGGGAATGAGAACAGCAACTGAACATTGTCTTTGCACAAATTCAATGGCAACATGCGAAGGTATTGGTAGAAAAAGATGCTCGCATACATTTTTACAAGATTGCCATGGCAGAAGTAGAGAAGAATTTGGAGATTTTGAAGAAAGAATATGATCCTGAGCTCATAAAGAATCTTGAGGAGAAGCTCGCATAAGCATCTATAGTGATTGACCTTTTATGACAGGTGGGTTCAAATAGAGGACAACATGGTTAGACAATGGGATTGGATTTGTAGGGTGGTTGTTCTGGCTTGACGGAGAGGATGGCAGGTTGTGGGTTTTGGTGACTAGTAGAATGGCTGCTATTGAGGCTTGAGGCTTTTGGAGATGGTTGCTATTAGAGGTTTGGGGCTGACGGAGATTGTTATTTGTGGGTGGTGAATGACAGTGGGGATAGTGGGTGTGGTGGTGATGCAGTTCAATTCCAACTAAACAAGAATCAAGATGAAATACGACAGACCAAGCAAGAAAAACAAGTAAATGCAAGTTTATGAAAACTAAGAAGAATAATGATGTGAATGAAACCAAAATATCATTGAGTTATTCAAAACAACCGTTACGAGCATGATTGTTTACCAAGAGTTTTCAATATAAGAAACCAGTCTTTGTTTTAATTAGCCTAGTCTCTGTTTAAGAAACCGTTACGAGCATGTCATTTAAAAAACTAATACACGTGTCATTTAAAAAAATCCCTCTGTTTTAATTAGCCTAGTCTCTGTTTTTTTGTTTCAACTTCTTCTTCCTCCCCAGTCTTTGTTTCAGTCAACTCTAATATTTGTTTCAGTCAACCTTAGTCTTTGTTTCAATTAGCCATTGTATCAGTTGGTTGGAAGAAGAGGAAGGATTTTTCTAGAGTTTTTTGGTGTCAAGGTCGACTGGAGAGGAAGAAGTGAATGGGAAAAATGGGTTTTTATATGTAGGGTTTACAATCGGGTGGTCAAATTTCCTTTAGTCCTTTTTGTTGAAAGTTTTTTCTTTTTGATCCAATACTCTTTTATTTGTTTCCAATTTCATGCCTAATCGAGTTTATTTTCAGCCCTTTCTTTTAATTCTTTTAATTTTGACCGGATTGGTTTTCGATCAAAGGCAACGTGGTTTTCAATTTTTCCAATTATGGCCCCAATTAAATCTTTTTGGTCTATATTCTCTCAATTGTTTCAATTGAGATCCACATGCCTCTTTTTTAAAATATATTTTTCTTTCTTTCTTTTCTCTTCTCTTTTTTTCTTTTCTTTTCTCTCTCTTTTTTTCTTTATGCTCATAAATAACTCAGAAAAATTATAAAAATTCATTAAAAAAAACTATTAAAAAATTTAACTTTTGATAAAATCAAATTGATTAAACAAAAATATTTTAAAAGGAATTTATTCCTTTTTTTTTTTTTTGGGAAAATCATGAAAAATTAAGAGTTAAAATGGATGCTAACAACAGTAGTGGAGTAAATCAAGTAGACGCATAGGCTTTTCTAGGGACAAAAGATGGTGAGGAGTGCATTGATTTATTGTTGTGGCTTCGACAATTTTTGTTGGTGCCGATTTCTCTATATTTTGATGGTTTTGATAGTATTTTTCAATATTATCAATAATTTTAGAGAATAGAGAAAGGGGTAAGCAGAGAGACAGAAGAAAGAGAACATGATGGTGGAGAAAGGATAAGTGTTTAACATTATGTTTTATATAAAGGTATTTTAATCTTTTTGTGATCTCACTAACAGAACATGTAACATGTTAATTGAGGATATAGAATGTAATATAGAAAAATGGACTATGCAAGTGTTAAAAACAATCTATTATTTTGTTCTTGATAATGTAAAGTTTAGTTATTATTTTTAAAAAATATATAATATGAATAACTTAAAACATTATTTTTTTCATAAAACTTCCAATCAATTAAAAATATATAGATTAAAATATTTATTTATTTATTTATTCATTTATATATATTATGGATTCATTTTGTCAATTTACATAATTAAAATTATGTTTTACAAAACTAGCTAATTATTCAAATATAGATTTTTATTATAATATTATAGTTGATAATTTTATGAATAAATATATCAAAATCAAATATATAGACTTTCAAAAACTAATCTTCTAATCACAATTAAATAAGAATCAAAAATATTTTTTTCATTTGTTTTTGTTTTTTTTTTTTGAGTTCTTACATCAATTGTTGTTTTGTTTTAATGACACAGTCTTAGAAAATTAATATTATAATTTTTTATATATTTTACATTATTTTTTAAAAAATTATTATCAATTTTTAATTAAGAATTCATTGATAAAGAAAAAAATGCTTTTTTTTGTATAAAAAAATATGAAAAACACAAGACAAAAAAAAGTGAAATAGAGTCTTTTGATTAAAAAATTATAAATTTGAATGATTTTTTTAATCTTTAATTAATATAATTTGGACGAATTTATAGTATAACGTGAACTATTAAAATGAAATAATTTTTTAAAATTATTTCACATGTTCTGACGCCGTGCCATAAGGTAGGTAAAAATTAGTTGAAATTATAACAAAAAGAAAAAAGTAGCTTATAAATAGTGCTTGACGACTTGACGTTATGCTTGCTTATTTTATTTTGTGGAATTCAACTTCATGAAAGTTTGTTCGGTTGTTTCCAAAGAACAGAAACTAAGTAGAAATGATCAACGGATTTTTTTTTTCTTCCCGATAACAGAAGGGATCAAAGTTAGTCATTTTTTACAGTAGAGAATTCTGTGATTAAAATTACGAGGCCAAATTGCTCAAAGCTGTAATATTTTGCATTCTTCAGCGAGACCAACGCCCTGAGTACCCCTTCTTGAAGGCCACGCATCTTCTCATGCATGCCCGCGTCAGGAAGCTCTACGAGCTACGTAATGTTTCCTAATATTTTATCTTCTTCTTTTTTCTAATTTCTGGTGATGCAATGGTGTTTGAACTGCACAAAACAAATAGTTCTGTTTCTAAAAAATGTTTTTTTACCCATCTGAATATTTCGATACCTAATCAATTATTATAGTAATAAAAGGAAGCATTTGTTTTTGTTTTGTTTTGAGCAAGCAATAAAAGGAAGTAAAGAAACCTCCTGTTAATAAATTAAAGTGAAAATTGTTTCTGGTTGTTGGCTAGGGTCCCCCCCCACCTCTCTGAGTGGTAGCTAGTTTAGCAAGTAAATTATAAATTAATCCATTTTGTTTTGAGAAACAAATTAATTAGTCCTATTCATTTAAAAAATTAATCATTTAATCGTTAATTGTTGAGTTTTTGCAAGATTTGTTAATTTAATACTTAATATCTAAAGTGCCTTTTAACATATATATCTAAATGAGAAGTGGAGATTTGAGAAGAAAAATGGAGATATGTTTTGGTATTTGAGAAAAGAGAAAGAGAGGAGATGTGTCTAAAGGAGAGACAGAATGCATAAAAAAAGATAATTTAAGAATAAAAAATACTGCAACAAATATATATATCATCACCATTCTAATGAAAAACTGACGAAAAAATTAAATTATTGACAAATTAAAACATGAGAGACTAAATAATTAGTTTTTAAAATAAAAAAGACTAATTATTTTTTTCTCAAAACAATAGGGACTAGTTTATAATTTACTCCTAGTTTAACTGTAGAATCATTAGGCTTGATCCCAAAATGGATTGGAATCATGAACATGGCGATGTGGCCAGAAGTCTAACCTAGCAACTTGCTTTTAGGTTCGACTTTTGTTACTGTTTGGACCTCTCTTTGTTCTGGAAGAGTTACCCAATTCATTGTCAACAAAAGGCCCAAAAGAAGCACGAACGTCTTGCCTTGGAGCACACCGAATGATTCAATCTCGATAATGGATTGGGCTTCTTCACCAGCGAGTCTGGTCGGAGAACTTTAACCATTGTGGATATAGCAGCTCTTTTGATTTAGAAGTCTGTTTTTCACTGAATTTTCTTTCAGCGTCTCAAAAAACCTACACGGTCTTGGGCCACTGGTTGAGTAAACCCGGGGTGCCTGCTAAAAAACTTTTTATTATCACTTTCTGTATCAACCAATGTCAAGCTAAATCCATCGGTCATACGGGCATTGTATCAGAAACCGATGCTACTGTTCCAACAAACAGAGATAAATAGTGCTTTATAATTTAACTTCTAAGGAACATCGTACAATAATTTTCCATGTCAATTATATGATCACGGTTAGCGTTATTTATTACAATTCACATCCTATAGTTTACTTAATATTCTGAATTTTAAAACCGTTTGCTCACACTATATATATGAAGTTTGCCATCAAACGTATTTTATTGCCCAAATTACCCTTTGCATGCCCAACCTTGTGGAGAAAAAATGACAGGAAGACCCGCTTCATTGAGGAATAACATCGAATGCCCCATATGCACCATCTTGTAAGTTGTAGTCAAGGAAAAACATCAATTGAGAGACTAAACTTCATAAACCAAAGTCCCAAAAAAACCTTGAACTCATTAATTACAAATCATCAATTCTCTTCCTAAAACCTCGTACAAAAAATATCTCCATCTTTCTCTTCATAATTTATTTATTCATTACATGAAATCAATATCAATTTTCTAAAAAATATATTTAAAATTAAAATAGTAAATCAAAGAAAAAAATACTTAATGACAAAGATTAGAATAATTATAAAAAAATAATATACTAATAAAAATATTTTAATTCCAAAATTTCATCATATAATAAAATCTCTATAAGAATAATTGTTTTTTGAAATTTTTATGTTAAAAGTATTTGTATTTGTAATAGAAAAACATAAAGAATAATATTTTTTGTTAGCGAAGAATATGAAATAGAAAAAAATTAATTGCATAAAACGTTTTTTACACTTTTTATTTTCTTAAGAAATAATTACATTATAAATATTTTAATTTTTTAATTTTTTCTCAATTGAGTTTGTGATTTTTTATTTTTATTTTTTTGTTTGAGTATATTAATTTTTTTAGAATTATCAATCGAATACTTTCATCAATTTCAAATCTTAATATAGCTCTTGTATCTTTTTTATTCATCATTTTTCTCTACGGTTGAATTTTTCTTAATCTGAATGTGGCATTTTCGATTGTTTTTCAATTAAATTTTTAATTGAAACTAATACCTGACTTAAAAATAATAATAATAATAATAATAACGTGGAGCATATGCAGATTAATTTGCCATGTGACAAAAAAATTAGCAAAAATAAAAATAAAAAAAATAGAAAACTAAAAAAACTCAATGAGTTGAGTTACAACTGAGTCGGAGGGAGGGACTAAAACAAAAGACTCATTAATGGCCACCTCCACAACTCTTCAAAAACTCACTCTCTTCCCTTCTTGTTCCTCTTCTTATGCGTTTACTTAGGAATTCCCTACGATTTATGTGATAAAAAATTCTGTGGGAAACCATTCTGTTCAGATTACCTTTTTACCTTATCATTTAGTTGTTAAAATCTGCAGGTTAAAACAGGTGGTGGTTTCTCTGGGAAATGGACCATGGGATCAACTATTTGGTGGTGCCATTGGAGCACTTGCTGCCTTTGCTGCTGGAATTATAGTCATCTTGGGCACTTCTCGATCTGCTGTTCAAAAGCCCATGGCCATCTCATAAGGTATTCTCTTTTGTTGCCTATTTTTTGGATGTTGATAAAATCCAAAATGTCAACAAGCAGCAAGAATATGTTTATAGCTCTTCTATCTCTCCTGATCTATAAAGGCATCTAATTCCGATGTGTTGTTTACCAATTTACTTTGCAACCATTTTGCTTTCTCTTCGTGCAAATTACAAAAGGCTTTTTTTTGCAATTTCATCTGATCAGTTGTCGACACAGTACTTAGGGGTGAATCTGAGAGAAGGTGCTCTCAATACGCAAAATGAAAGTCAGAAACCGGAAATTTCGTGGAAGTTTTCGAATCTTTTGAGTCCTTAAAAATTTTGCTAGGCCAACTGCAGAGTCATTTCTACTGAAAAATTCTATAGGGTCCATCTTCAAGGGATAGGCGTCTGTTTGCAACACATTCAACATATGTTAGTAAGGGTTGAAAACACATGCATATGTAAAGCAACGGTCACGCAAAAAGGCAACTCACATGCAGGGAGACTAATATCATAGCTGTCAGTGAATGACGGGTGAGACAAGCCATCTAAATTTATGGAAGAATTTCTTCAATGAAAAGTGGTCTACCTTTAGCCACGGGAAAGAAAATAAAAGCCCTGGATTGCTCCCAAGTACTACTCCCTTACCAACCAAGATAAGTTGCTGCCGATTGGGATTTATTCCTGATGGAAGAATATTCATTTTCCAAAGGCAACGCTGACTGGCATTGGTGGTCCAAGCATGATCTATTCCAATCTCGAGCATTTTGTGCCTGAATTTTCCATATGAATGCGGTGGATTGTGCTGGGTGGCGAACAGTTAGTGTGTGACTTGTGCTGATTGAAACCCCGATGGGGACATGTCTCTTAGGCTACGTTTTTTGAGAAGCTTCATTGATTTTTATGGACGCTCTCTTTTGTGATAATAATTAATTTCCCTTTTCCATAAAAAAAATAATTAATTTCCTTTTTGTGATTCGTTGTGTCTGAACCTTGGAATAAATTGACGTGTTTATCAGTATCTAGGAAAGCCTGTTTTGCTTTCAATGCCTCTATACACTGCTTTGTCTTAAGGCTTGGGAATCATTTAAAAGACCCGTGTTAGGGACAAGTTGTTTAAGCTAATTACTGTTAACTCTTAAATGAAGGCATGGCAGAAGACTTGGAAAAGATTGCACGGCAGAAGTAGCTGGAAAAAAAAATTAATTCTTTTTTTTTTCTTTTTAATTTTCTATTTTCTGCCGCTTTTTTCTGATTTTTTTTTAAATTTTTTTTGTCATGTGGTAAATTAATCTAAGCTGGTACAACATGTGAATTTTTTTATACCAAGTGTCAGTTTCAATCGAAAAACAATCAGAATAACTACATTAAAATTTTTTTGAGAATAAAGAGAGGTGACAAATAATAAAAAATACAAAAGTTACGTTAAGAAAATAAGAAAAATAAAAAGACGTTTTATGCGAATAACCCAATAGAAGAAAAAATTAATTTTCTTTATTAATTAAAAGTATTTAAAAATATATTATTTAAATTTTTGATAAGATTAATATTTTAATAACATATTTAAATAAAAAGAAGCAAGGTCTTTTCGGACAGGAAAAGTAGGTTAATTGAGGATGTAAAGTGTAATAAATGAAACATTGATTTATAAAGTGCTTACTCGTGCAAAATAAGGATGCTTATTAATAATTTATCCTACATCATGATTTGTTGTACAAAGAAGAAAGCCACCAAAGTGATTAAAAATGATTCATTTTTTTTATTCGGTTTTAAATTTTCAATTTGATTGTTGGTTAATCTAATTTTTTTTAAAAAAAACCCGGACCAAGTAGAAATTTGGTGTTTCGATTTAAAAATCAAAATTTTAGTTTTCGCTTTTTTGTGAAAACTGAATTTTTTAAAAAATTCGTCTTTCTATTTTTTTTTAATTTTTAAAATAATATAAATCAGCAAAAAAAAAAATTATGTTATGGTCTATGAAGTCCTTTCTCTAACCCAAATGATCTAAATTAGCATATATAAAATATAATAAACATTTATTTAAATAAGACTAAAGTACAAAACTATATCATATAATAAAGTATTAAAATTTTAATACAAATCCACTAATCTACATCTAAAATATATAATGATAAAAAATCATTAATTGTTTAAATATGTTGTACACCAGACTATAAAAGTTCGAATAAGAATCAAAAGTTCAAATTTTATTTTTTTTTAAGTCAGTTTCAATCAAAATAGATTCAAAACTGAAAAACCAAATAAATTCAGTTTTTTTTTTTTTGAGTTAAAAAGTAAACTGAAATCAAAATCTATATTTCAATTGAGTTCGATTGGATTCATTTTTTGGTTTAAACCAAACAATGCTCACCCCTAAATGTGATATTATAGCAAAAGGTTTTGAGTCAACAGGAAAGACCAACGCTCCTAATAATCCATTTTTGGATTAGAAATGAAAAAAGAAATATGATTGATGGATTTATAAATCAACACATTAGGTTTTTGGATTGAGGTTAGTGTTCACTTTATATATACAAGTTTCACTTGTTTTCTTTGTTAAACATTTGTCTATCTAAAAATAGAACATAAATGAAATTAAACGAATTTTAGGCAAATGATTTTTTTTTTAATTGATTCATTTTGTAAAAAAAATAGATTTCTATATTGCAAAGTCATTTGGATTTACGTACAGGCTTGCATGCGTGAGAGTTTATATATAAATATGGGCATCACTTTAATCTAAAAAACTAATATGTTATGGGTCCATTTTATATATAAGCATCTCACTTTTCTTCTTATTATTTTTTCAATATGAGATAATTACCTCTTATATGTTCATCTAACAAATCTCTCGTTTACGCGTGAGTTCAGTCTATTCGAACGCAATTCTACCTCCAACAGAAGTATTTAACAATACTAAGTACAAATGTCTTCACCCGAGTACTATAATATCACCCAGAGCTCATCACTCTTTTAAGAGCTTACTCATTTAGGAGCTTGGGCTAGCCCTTTGCTCGTAACATAGAAGCCACGTTTTACTACTTCGGGAGCCACCCATACCGCTCTGCATCTAAAAGTCTAAAAAGCTTTTCACTTTTATTACGAGAGTAGCAACAATAAAAATCAATCAGCATTTTCTGTTTACTCATCCCAGCTAATATTGCGCTATTGCTATGCAAACACTTGTCATACCCACTTGTGCCCAGTTGAACCATCGATTCTACAATGGTTACGACAAGTGTGATCTTGGATGCTACGAGGACATCTTCACCTTCATCAACGTACCCTTTTCACTGATCTTGGATTTACCAGTTAATATTAAATTTCAGTCAATAAAATCACCATAACAAGGAAAGTGGTAAAATGGAAAAACTTCTCTCTCATTTCAATTCAAAAATATAGATTGATGAGCCATGAGTCCATTCTATATACAAACATCTTCTTTTTCCTCATTGTTTTTTCAATGCGAAATAATTACCACTCAAATATTTACCTAACAATCAAAAACCCTAAAAAAAAAAAAAATTATCAATCAAACCCAGCACCGAACCAAACCAAATTAGTTCTATTAAATTCAATTCTGGCTTGATTTAAATTAATTATAAGAGCAGCTAGCTCTTGAGAGTTGGGAAATTTTGGAATGGGACTAAAATTAATAAAGCCAACAACCCTTAAGTAGTTGTTGCTACGTACGTACAGGGCGCAACTTGCGTCATGTCTTTTTGAATTAGATACAAGTAAGGTGCGGGCATTATCATAGAAAAAGTTTAGAGGGCGTTTGGCATGGGAGGATCGGAGATTCCCCTTACCAAGGCATCTTAAATGTAAAAAAAGTATGATACGTCCTATTTGGTTTGCCAGGAAATTTCAAATTCTTATTACAGCCAAAAATGAAAAATAAATGTGGAATGTTAGAAGCAGATTCAAAACTATGCTAATTGCCTCTGACAAAATATATTCTTAGCGTCAATTTTTAATATTGGCAAGCTATATATATATAATTTCAAATCTAAGCATTTAAAACTAGATCCATAATTTTAGGAAAAATTGAACCTTTCTTTTCTTTTAGTAGTTAATAGAAAAACCTAAAGAGATGAATTTATCGAGTAGCCTTCTTTTCTTCTTAGACTAAAAATTTTACAAACCCCCGTTTCACTCCTTTTTCCTCCACAAGGATACACGTTTATCTTCTCATAACTGATGAGCTACACATGCTACCTTTTATGGGTCCTTTTTAATGCTACATGATTTGGAGGCAATTATTTTTCATGGTTCTTTTAGCTATTGTAAACTGCTCTATAATCAATTTTTGAAAATCAAATCAAGACACCTAGAAATGGCTAATTGACAAAATGACCTCCAGAACTTTCGGTAAAATCCAACTCAACCCTTGGCCTTTAGACACACACACACCTTAAGCTATCATATCAAAGCAATTAATCAAAATTAGATAATTTTTTTCATTTTTTTGTTAGAGTGGAAAGCCTAACAGAGTTGGTTAATTTCTTTGACCCAATAGCTTAATTGAGATAAGAAAATCAGAAAAAAGAAAGGTCATGCGTTAAATTGGATTTTACCAAAAGTTCAAATAATTGTTTTACCTATTAGCCTTATATTTATCAGGGATTAATGGTTTTATATGCTTTTTTTTTGTTGGTATATATTCAAAAATAAAATTGGTTCACATAGAAGTAGTTGCGAATTTAATTCCACGAACCAATTTCGATTGTGATTTTTTTAATATTTTAATTTTTTTATAAACCATTTTCAATATTTTAATTGATTCATATAGATGTTTTTTTCTTCACTTGTTTTATGAAAAGGCTATTTTTTAGTGGAAAGGATTTGAATGCGAGTGAAAGCTAAAAAGAGATGGTTGTTGAAGAATGAAGATCATTGAAGAAATTGTGTTTTTGATTGATAGTCTATAACAAATTATACATAACTTTAGAGACATCTTGATGATTTTATAATTAGATGCTTGTTGAGATTTTTGTTTCCTTCAAGTTAATTAGCCAATTTTTCTATTCTATTTAGAGTATTCAATTTTGTACTATAAAATTTAATTAATGAAACTTCAAAAGATTTCTTATTTTCATCATTTCAATTATTTGATTGATATAGAAACTTGGCAAATGGTAATGCCAAAAAAAGTTCTAATCATCTCTCACATATTTTTCTAATACAATTAGAGGTGGAGTTTCTTGCATGTAAAACTTTTAAATTGTATCTAATAAACTACAAGGACAACAATATTTTATGCTTCTAATACATGTATAATCGAGGCCAAGTGGAATTCTATATGTAATACTATTTGACACATCATTTTTACAAGCGGTTTTGCAACAAAATTTATTTGGGATAATTATCAGAAAAACCATCTAAAAAAATCTTATATCCAAATAACCTATCAATTTATTTTTAAATCTCTTAAACCCAACATAATATTTTTCTTACCAAAACACCAAATAATTAACTTTTAACTTAACACTAGTTAACTATTGAGTCTTTTGGTAAGATAATTTTTTTATTTTTAGATTTGAGAGATTTAAAAAATAAATTGATGGATTTTTTAGATAGAAAATTTTTTAGAGTTTTTTTTTATGTAGTTTTTAATGACTTTGATATTTATTTATTTTTTTTCATGATCAAGTCAAGTTCTTTTTTATTGCATTCGAAAGAATTTTTTTTTTTTTTAGATTCTTTGACTTTTAAACACTAACATTTGCCTACTATTTTTTTTATTATACTAAAAAATTTCTTATA